AGGCCCACCCAGCAGCAGCAAACACTCAATTCCCATGCCTGCTATGCGGTGTTGCAGTGATTGCTAGGTATGACAGGAAGATGGCCCTGTCAAGCTCTTCTCCTGAGGGCGGGAACCATTTCATACCACAGGACTCTTTGGGGTCTGAGACCCACTGCACCAGAACTTAGTGTCAGCACCAGACAGTTCATTCCTTTCTCTCACTATGCAGCCCAGGCAGGCCTTGAACTCAGAGATTTGCTAGCCTCTAACTTCTTGTCTCTCCAGCGCTGGAATTAAAGGCATGCACCACCATACCTGGCCCACGGTCATGTCTTTAAAAAGTGGCAACCAAAGCCAGGTGCAGTGATGCACCCAGTATGCCTGTGATTCTGGAAGCCCAGGCAAGGGGATGGCTTCATTCTAGGAGTTCAACGACCACCTGGGTTACATATCCAGACTCTCTCATAAGGCAAAAACAAGCAACCAACAAAAGATGCCATGTGGCAGTGTTCTGTGACACACATAGGGTCCAAGTGCACCCTGCACTGGGGAGACTGGGATCTGTGCAGGCTGCATGTGATCACCGCGCTTTTGAAGAAACGAGATGTCTTTAAAAGCTGCCATCTTCAGGGGCTGAAGTAGGGCTTTGTGGCTTGTTACTTGTGAGGGAATTAGAATTAGATGAGGTCGAGAGGCTAGGTCCCCTTGGTAGGATCAGGGACTTTATAAAAACAATAGAACGGGAGCGTGGCTCAGTGGAAGAGCCCATGCCCAGAACCCACCAGTGAAGGGCTGGGGGCGTGGCTCAGTGGAAGAGCCCCTGACTAGAATCCCCCAGTGAGGGGCTGGGGGCGTGGCTCAGCTGCAAAGTGCTTGCACAGCCCCAGGTTTCATCCTCAGCATTGAAAAAAACAAAACAAAACAAAACAAAAACAACAAATGGCACTGTCAGCTGTCAGGGTTCACCAGCAGTCACTACTATAAGCCCTGGGACACGTGTTTGGGAACTGGGACTCACTGGGATAGCAGAGGCCATTCAGGGTACAGCCCCTCCAGCAGGGTGCCCCCAGCAGTCCCAACATCACCCACACAGCTCTGCTGGCACCAAGGCCTGCAGTCCTTCCACCTGGGAGCAATCCACAGTTATTCAGGCCAGGTGCTGCTATCAAGGGACGCGCCCGCATTTATCAGAACTGAGTAAGGGAGACAGACCAGCAAGAAGAATCAGAAAAGGGCATTACGGTTCACCTGCAGGGCACAGACAATGAGATTTGGCCCAGAGGGGCCAGATGGTGCATCACTCAGCAGAGAAAAGCTAGGCTCCCGGCAGGTAGCCCATCAGAGACGGCCTTACACACAACACATCCTTTCTCCAGCGAGTGGGTCCACCATGACACACCCAGTGTCTGAATGATGGAGGAGGTGGGGACACCAACACTGCTACCTGCCCAGAAAAGGGCATGTTAGGAGCCTGCCTCTGGGGATATGCCACCACCTTCTGGGATTCCTGTGAGACTGCAGGGGAGTGACCTCTCTGACCTCTGAACCCCGGTTTCCTCGCCTGTAAATCAGGGACCATGGAGATCAAATGACTTTCGCAGCATCAACTTTGCCAGCATCTGAGACAGACCAGACCAGACCAGACCAGACAGACCAACTCTGCCTGTCTCTTTGGTATCACTCTATCAGGGGCGTCAAACTGTATTTCTAAGAAACACAAAGGTAAAGTCTATTCCAAACCAAACAAACCCCACAGGACCCCTGGGCAGGGCAGAGTATAGGAAGGGGCAACCACTGCCCAGGTCTGGCCTGGGCCTGCATGGCTGACTGTGTTCCAAGTGCACAGGAAAGAACACAGTGACACCAACTGAGCTGTGACCCAGGAAGATGGGCCCACGTGGAAGGGCTATGTGGGAGAAGTGGGGTAAGTGTGTGTAGGGGTGCAGCATGGCCCTGTGAGGGAGACGACTACTACTACGAGTCCAAGGTAGGCCCCCAAGCGGGGGAGCAAACAGACATGCCCAGGTGCCTGTGCCCTTACAATGTCCTGGCACCCGCATAAACCAGGGGCCGCAGGCCCACTTCACCATGGGCCTGGCTACCCAGAGGACATGGCTGATGCAGAGTGAAAAGCAGGCACTCCCCAAATTTACCCACTCGCTCAACCCTCACAATGGCACTGCCAAGTAGGCCTATGGGTTCCCTGGTTACAGGTGAGGCCCAAGGCATTTGAAGTGACACGCCTGGGCCTGGGCTGAGCGGGCCACCAAGCTAGACATCCAGATCTTGGAGCCCGTGCCTTCATATCCTGCTCCAGTGGCTGCACACCTGACTCTAGCCCACAGGAAGAGACAGACACTGGTGGCAGTGGGCAGCGTCTATGCTCACACACGTCGTAAACAGGGCTTTTTACAGAAGGAGCTGCTTTTCTTCTGCTGGAGACGGAGGGCTAATGGCAGACTGTGCTCCTGACTCACAGACCCACACGGTTTCAACTGTGGAGCCAGGTTCCAGTCTCAGCTGTCACTCCTTCCAGGTGACCTTGGAGAGGGGCGTCTTCTTTCTATACAGGGGTAAATTCAACGTGCACAATGCTCACAGTCAATACTGAGTTCGCCAAGTGCACACTGAGGTTGAAACAGGCCGGAGAGGGGGAGCCATTGGTTCATTTGCTCCACCCAAGGCCACACTAATGTGGGTGGGATGGACTTACTGTATGCTGTGGGTATGTGTTGCTTTTATTGGTCGATGAATAAAGCTGTTTTGGCCTATGGCAGGGATGAATATAGCTAGGTGGGAAATCCAAACAGATATAGAGAGAAAGAAGGCGGAGTCAGGGAGACACCATATAGCCGTAAGATGCCAGGACATTGCCTGTTTAGCCATGGCCACGTGGTGATACACGGATTAGTAAAAATGGCCTATTTAATTATGAGAGCTAGTCAGTAATATGCCATTGGTCAAACAATTATAATATTAAGCCTCTGAGTATTTATTTGGGAACTGGCGGATGGGAGAGAAACCTCCATTTACACCACACAGTTCCTGACACAGAGGACAAGACCTGGGTAGGTCCTCTATGACC